ATATCTAGGGACTTCCCAACAAAGTGGTAATATTTTAAAGGCTATTAAGAAATAACACGAATATTGATCTGCCTTCTTTTGTGGGAAGACAATATTTTAATTTTTTCATGTAATGACAAAGTACAAATGCTGAATTGACATTATTCACATAAAACTATTTTTGCATTTACAACTCAACAAACTAGTAAATACAGAGAAACTGCTACACTCTATGAGCACACTGTGTTTGTTTTCCGTTAATTCCAATTTTTATACTCTATTATGTTAGCCAGTGAAGTGTGTGTCATGTGACAACACCCAAAGTAGATTCTAGGGAACCTGGCTAGGACCAGCAGTTAGGAACAGGGGTGCATACACAGATGGTGCCATCTTACTGGGCCAAACACTGTGATTCCCCCAAAACAAAGAGAAAACAGAAATGGGAGTATCACAGGACTCCTCCCAGCAGGCTGGAAATGTTCGATGGTTATTAAGAAATGGCAGGGCCTTCCTGCTGGTGCAGGGGTTAAAGTCTCAGCACTATCAAGCTATCACCAGCCACTGGAACACACAATCCCCAGCCAGGGGGCTGACCTACAGCAGACCTCACCTGTCTCATCCGCTGCTCCCCTCGGCAGTGTTTCAGTGGATCTGTCTGTTCTTTGCCCTGTCTCTGGTGAATCCTGACTTCCCCCACCCCCATACCTCTGACCTATACCCCAGTTCTTGTGTGCATAAATAGATTAAAAAAAAAAAAGGGGGGGGGATTAAGGCCCTCCCTGGTGGTACAACAGGTTAAAGCACAGCATTGCTAAGTTAGCTGCAGCCCCTTCAGCAGAAGTTTGATCCCAGGCAAAGGAGGCGACCCACATGACACAGCAGACCTCTCCTGTCTTGCCTGCTGCTCCCCTCAGCAGTGTATTTCGTTGATCTGCCTGTTCTGCTCCCCACTCTGTCTCTGGGGAATCCTCTCATTGTCCCTGCACCTCTGGCCTGTACCCAAGTTCTGCATGCAAAAATAAATAAATCTTAAAAAAAAAATGTTAATGCTATTAAGCATAGAGAAGGGAAAAGGCTGAGGTTTGATCCTGACTTCTGCAGAATGCACTGTGGAGACACTGAGATGAGCTACCTGCTGCTTAAATCCTCTTTAGCTAACTCCTTGGTTATTAGTGGAGGCCAAAAGGTAAGTTTACTCTCAGGCATCAGCTTCCTGCATGGCTGTTTTACAGAAAAGAATAAAACTGTGCTCACTTTAAGTCTATGCAGATGGTCTTGCTCGCTTACCCACTAGCCCAGGGAGGGTCTTCCAGATCATCATGTCCACACCGGGAATGGCACCCTCGGCAGCTATGTGCTGGTGCCCTCCCGGGAGCCCACCTGTCACACCAGAACTTGCAAAGACCATCTTCCTGATGGGAAGTCACGTTGAGGTGATACGCACGGGCGCGGCTGTCTCAGGAGTTAAGATTTTGAAATAGTGCTGCTGGCCCAAGTAATCCCTCCAGGACTCCCCGTGCCCGTCACTTTGGTCACTCCTTCTGGAAATTCCAGGAAGCTACACATGCCAGTTGCAGAATAGCAGCAGTACTCCCACCAGTTCTCTGGCCTGCTGTGTCTGTGCAAGCATCCTATACTTTCCCCTTCCCTCTTTATAATAAACCTGTCCTTTTGCATAAAAACAAAACAATGAAGCACTCACATAATCTTGAGGACCAACACACTTAGTCCTAAGTGCACAGTACTTGATAAATGTTGGATATTATTACCATCACAAAGATAACTCAGAACAAAGTTTGTACCCCAGAAGACAACGCTAGTGGGCTCCGGCGGATGCCACACAGCCTGCCTCCTGTGGATTCTGGGTTAGTCTGGAGGAAGTAGGATCTCAGGTAGTCCATGGCCATGACATTCAAGGTCAGCTCCCCTGTGCTTGCCTCTAGCCCACATTGCACAGGCTCGTGAACACAGAGAATGGCGCCCCCTGCTGACCTCTATGGAGAACTGTTAGGACACTCTGGAAACCCAGCCGTGGTCACTGACAGGCCCTCCCAAGTATTTTAAGATCTCTACTTTGATCACTTATAATCACTTATGATCAAGTGACGCCAGCAAATTCACTTCCCAAAAGCAACTGTAAACAAACCAGCCAAAACACACATTTCAAGGCTCTAAATGGACCAAAGTCATACACAATCACGTGTTGTACTTTAACTTGCTGAGCCACGAGGGAGGGCCCTCTACCAGGATGCTTCAAAATACCCAAGATTAACAAAAACAAGAAGTTGTCAGACCAGAGGTAAGTAAGGAGATGTGAAAACTAATGTAATATGGTATCCTAGATAGGATTCTGAAACAGAAAAAGGAACCTACGGAAAAATTAGTAGCATCAAATAAAATGTGAGGTATGCTTAATAGTAATATACTACACACCCATATAGTGGAGTATTATTCAAGGATAACAAATGAATTTACATGTTACATGGATAATCTTGAAAATATGCTCCATGGAAGTAGACACAGAAGACCATGTCACATGGCTCCATTTGTATACAAGAAAAAGAATGCACAAATCTACAGACAGGGAGTGGGTTTGTGGTTAGCAGGGATGCAGGGGAAGGATGGGAAATAACAGGAAGGGACTACCAAGGAGCAAGGTTTCTTTAGGTAGACAAAAAAGTTCTAACATCAAAGTGCAGCGTTGGTTGCACAACCCCGGGAATTAGAAAAACCATTGAATTGTGGAGCCTTGTTACTGTTGCAAGGGTTAAAGCTTCAGCACTGTGAAGTTAATGGCAGCCACTACAGCATGAGTTTGATCCCTGGCCAGGAAGGTGACCCACAGCAGACCTCTCCTGTCTCACCTGCTGCTCCCCTTCGTCCATCTGCCTGTTCTGCTCTAGTGATTCCTTTCATCCCCCTGCACCTCTGGCCTACCCCCCAGTTCTTGTATGCCTAAATAAACTAAATCTTTAAATGTACCACTGAAAGATGTTAATAGCTCAAACTGGGTAAACTCATTTTTGTAAGTTTTCTGTAAATCTATATGCTGTTTGTAAATTAGAAAAAGCTTACATAAAATCATATGCACAGGAAGTGCATATGACGAGTTTGAAATGGGACATTTTCATAGGGTGTAAGAACTTAGTGATGCTTCCCACGGAGAAAGCCATTTGCAGGGCGTACATGTTAATTTTTAGGGCTATACCAGGTGACCACAAACTTACTGTCTTAAAGTTTTATTATCTTAGAATTCCAGCAGAGTTCCAGAATGATTTTCACTGGGCTAAAATTCTCAGGACTGCATTCCTTGGTGGACTCTGGAAGAATACATTTCCTTGACATTCCAGCTTCTACGGGTCACTGCATCCTTAATACATGGCCCTTCCTTCGATCTCCAGACAGCTGCACCTCCCTCTCTCCAACCCTCCTGACTCCCTCTTTCACTATAGGACCCTATGATTATACTGGATCTCCTACATAATCCAAACTCCCCATTCCAAAAATAATAATCACATCTGAGAAGTCCCTTTGCCGTGTAAGATCAGAGTCACAGGTTCTCAGGTTGAGAACATGGACATCTTGGGGGACTATTAATTTGCCTATGAGGGTGTTGTCAGCAAGATGAACACAGGAGTAAGCTGGGGAGGGGGCAACTTTGGAGAGGTGAGTCCAACCCCCCTTGCGACACTCGACACTCGGTGAACTGCCCCCAGAGCTTCCATCTTTTCCCAAACAGGAAGCACCTCCCATAGGCAGTCATTGGACCAGAAAGATGGGCAATGAATTCCACAGGCTCTGACACTTGTTTTTCATATGGAGAACATTTCTGAAATCAGGATGCATCTCTTAGTGACATTTTCAACTGTAACTTTAAGTGGCAGGGTTTCCTTTCTCAGTGATATATAAAATATGTCACAACTAAAGGTATTTTGCAGACAGTGAAATCCAGGTCTGGGATGGCACCAGAGTGAGCCAAAGCATTACAGAAGTCACAGACCTCAGTACTACCCCACC